TTTATACTCTCAACTTATAAAGAACCCCATGGACAAGAGTTCCATCCCTAAATTCTTCATTATACAGGAAAAAAACAAGAAACAGACTCCTGTTTTTTTCAATACATGCCACCTGATTATTTCCTGAATACATCTTAGTAAGTGAAAATGGGAAAGCTCCCTATTTTATTTTCCATACTATTCAAAATTCTATGTACCTGTCAAATGCCTTCACTCCTGTCAGCTCTTTTCGTAAGTGAAGATTTCATTTCTTCTCATAAAGAACCTGCTACATCCCTTTCATCATCACTGTTACCCTTCCCTGTACTACTTCTAGATCTGCTATAACCTTTGAGATATGCAGCAGTACCACAGCTGTATACTCTAACATAATGATATTTGCTGATTTATTTCCTATCTCTCTTTCTAAATCATTTTTACATCTGCCTCAGTAGACGCACATCTACAAGTACTGACAATAATCTGCCTCATACTCAAAATAATACAATAATCTGCCTCATGCTCAAAGCAAATTCCTGATGTTAAATGTCAGAGTTTGCTACCTCAAGACAGCAATTTCCAAGCCAAGGTGGCCAAACAATCAGCAGCTTGCTACTCATTTGAAGCTAGTTCTTCCTTGTGCCTACCTGCTCAGCAGTATCAAAAGATAAGTGAGGATATTCATTAAACATATTCTTCACCTGAAATACCTCACATGAGCAATTGCTTTAATTACTGAAGTGATGAAACATAATTACAGAAGAAAATTCTGCAATCTCAGACTAGGTAAGAAAAACCCAAGGGAAAGTCATCATTATAACATCAGCCATGTGTTACAGAAGTCAGTTGAGGAGCCGTTGGTGCTGCTGGCTCCCTCCTTCCCAAACCCTTGCTCGACATATGGGGCGCAGCCAGATGACCGAGCAGCTTCCCTGCCTTGCTTCAGAACATGATACACAGGGGTGGCCCCACCACAGATGTGTCTCCTTTAAGAAATCAGAGAGTGAATAAGCCTTTATGGTATAGAAGATGAGTTAAATATGTTTCGGTATGGCACATCAAGAAGCCGGGAGACGCGATGCTCTGTAATTAAATAATGCTTTATATTGGTTCACGACAACGTAACACCGAGGCGACAGCACCTGCCATTTCCATGCTCAGTAATTTACATAAACTTATTCCTCTACTTCTATACCTCCAGCTGCATTCCGTAATTTATACAGACACACAAATTCTCCCCTCTGACATTAACAAGAGAAATGAGTTGAATAATCAGCTCACAGTATTAAGTGCATTGCATTTACTACCGAGCAAGCTTTTTTAGTTCAGCGGATGATTAATCTTCCCTCCGCGGGTAGGGCACCAGGAGATGCAGCGAGCTGACAACTGCTCTCGGCTCCTGGCCACGCACTCCATACGCTCACCTTGCAACAGCAGCGCTCGCTGGATCCCTCCAAGAGCTGCTCTAATTCATTAACCCAGCAACAGAATTGGACAGCTTTCTGCCAGGTCAGTGAATTAAAGTGGCTCACGTAAGGAATGCCAGAGCCAGTAAATAGGAGCGGGAGCCTGCGCTCGGAGCCAGATCTCTCTGACAGCAGCGAATCTTCAAATCAGCTCAGCTGCCAGAGGTACCGCGGCCCAATTAGCATCTGCACTCGCAGCGATCTGCGCCGGGCGTCTCCATTAGGGATAAGTGCACCAACGTAAACCAAGAAGGGGGAAGAAACCAGGCAACCCAGCACCTAAGAGGGGAAATGCAGAACGTCAACGGTTGAAGAGACAGGCGGCAACAGGCAGACCGAGTAGGCCAAATATGGTCTGGTACCTCAGTGTATTTCTAATCCAGGTCTTTCAGCTGTGCTCTGGGACACTATCAAAAGAAAGGACAGATGCTTGGAAATGAAGACCAGGAGACCCACATGCCAGGCAAGAAACAAAGCCCCACAGATGAGGCCTGATCCTAAAATAAAAAAAGATTCCACACTATTAAGCTGTTTGTATTACACTGCCTATTGTGCCAATTTCTTTTCCATGCCCCTGCTCTAAGAGCTCTGAATGCTTTCCACCACACTCAGACCTCCAGAACCAAGCTCATCCTTAGCTGATGACACCAACCAGACATTCTCCTTTGCTCGGGGCTTTCACACTGCATAGGAAGGCATGGACTTTGACTTTCAAAGTACATTTTACTTAAATTCACTGCTGATGTTTGGTCGCAGGCTTTCAGACCACTGTCTGCTAACTCACGCACCACCACTAATCTCAAATAATTAAATCTGATTTGCCTGCCAGAATCTGTCAAGTTCCTATGAAAAGGTGCTTCCCACCCAGTGTGTTAGGGACCTCATTATAGACTCCAATACATTGCTGCATAACATCTTACCAACCCGACGAAACTCCCCTTTCCATGAGGGACCTTTAAGTCACCCCTTATTCTGTTACTTTTGGAATTATCCTAAAGGCTACCAGCCCAAAAAAGCAGGAAGCCCCCACCATCTGAGCACGCCATTCACTATCTCACTCTGTCCTGTCAACAGGACCAAGCACAGGCCTTAAAACCAAGCAGAGTTTCTTAAGAGCAAGGAGGGATCTTATCTGTCTGGCTGAAGGAATTTCTTAATTATCCCATGGGAACACAGGCTTCAAGTCTCAGCAGCTAAAAAAGCCACCGGCTGTTGGGTCTGGGGTATCGCCTTCTCACACACATGGCAGCAGCTGCACTTGTCAGTCACAATAACAGGAGGGAAGGATCAAGTATCACCTGCAACAACTCTTTTCTCTGTTAAAATTAGCACTGTTGTTTGCGCAAGACAATGAAATGGTGAAAGGAAAGGATGCCTTAAAGCACAGCACTCTAGTCCACACAAATTAAGCACGTATGTCAAACAAGGAATAACCAACGTATGTGATGGACAAGATGCCTGACGTTAGCTATAGATGTTCAGGCAAAATAACCAACCCATTCTGCTGCATTTTTTAATAGCATGCTTCAGCTTCAGTAACTACTAAGCCTTCTTCATTCCCCTAGTTCCTACATCATTAATCAGTGTACTGAGAAGGAGAAAAGTTACAAGCAATTACATGCCAAGGCAGCCCACAGAATCAAAATAACTTCATACAGAAAGAGTCCTAGGCAGACAAAGGGACTCAGAAGATCCAGGACGCCATCCATGTGAAAGGGCCTTGGCCAAGGCACCTTTCCCCTCCCCCTGGATTTCCTCACATGCCACTATCTGAGATCCTCTGGGTTTGATCGGTCCCAGCCACAGCAGCAGCAGCAACGCGCTCATCTGCACCCTTACCCTTTCCCAGCTAAGGTCTGCGAGCCAGACTCTGCCCGCTCAGCTCGCACATCCTTAACCACGTCAAATGGCCAGGCCAGACGTGTCCACCTGTTCCCAGCAGCCAGTACAAGCATTACGTGTTACTCAGCCCATTTCGCCGATAACCCCTGCCAGTCAGGCTCCCTCCACAGCCTCCTGGCAACACCGCTGCCTCCCAGCAGTCTCCCAGCAACGCTCCCTCCTGCGCAGATGGGCTCCCAGTCCCTTCTCGCAGGCTCGCCAGCCTCCCCGCATGCCGTGGGCTCCTCGGAGCCGGCATTCGTTGATGAGACGCAGAGCTCGGCACTGCAGCACCACGGAGAGGACTCCTAATATGGAAGAGGAGCGGGAGGGTTGGCAAGAGCTCGCATCCAAGGTCAAGGCTCACATCATTTCCATTAAAAAGGAATGCTCTTAAGCTCTGGGCAAGGATGGCAACAGCAAAAATACATGGGGAAAGCCACTGCCCTGTTTTATTCCCTGTTTCCAGCTTTCCCATCCAACTGGCAGTGCTCAAGAGAACTGTTTGCTGGAGACAGGCAGCCCAGATCTTATGTGTTGGAGGGACACTGAACAATCTGCTACTAAAACGATGACCTGCGTTTCTTCACACTGCACCAGCTCTGAGTTTTATTTCCAGCCTGATTTCCTCTCGTCTGCATGTGTTTGCTGAGAAAGGCACCTGAAGTTCCTTTCATGCATGACCAGTGTACTTTACAGGGTTTGTACCCTTTTTCTTCTTCAGGATGCTCAAGTTGAGGTGTTCCCAGGACGAACTCAAAGATATCTCAGCAAAGTCATAACCAGCAGTGCCAACCATGCAGCCACTGCCCACGGCCAAGGTGCACACCGGGGACCGTGCACACTTGAGCTGGCACTATCGGCTCTTCCAACCGTTGGCACTGAATTCACTCGGTACTTACTGGGGGAAAAATAATCTCTACGAGCCAAACACCCAACTACAAGTAAAACTGAAAGCATTAACAGATTAAATCCGCCCCTGAGCACCGAAGGCTCTCACCGTAAGGCTCTTTATTAGGAAGTTAAGTCTTAACAAGTGGCTTAAGGGGTAGATAAAGCTTTTCCTGGGATAATCTGCCAGCATGTTGCCCAGTGCCAGTTCCAAGCCATGGGAAGAACAATGCAAAAGAAAAAAAATCTAAGGTGAAAATCTTTGTTTGGCAAATGGATGCCCAGTGGCTGAGAGAGGTCTCCTCTTCTTTTTGCTCCCCAGAAGCTCCCTGTCACCTTCAGAAAGTCAAAGAAAAGTATTTTTCTACTCTGCCAGCTTCCTGAAAATAAAAACACATTGGGATTACACCTACAATGCACGTGCTCGGCCTAATCCTTTGTACCGTGAACCCTGCAGAACTTGCCTCCATCGCATTCATTTGAACCGTCTGCCAACTAACACGAGGTAATTAACGCTTCTGTAAAGGACTTCTTCAGACAATACCACCACGGTAAAAACACCAAGATCCCAAGTACCACTGCTCTTTGCAGACATCTATGTGCTTGGCACAAGGAGAAAGACAGGAACGTAGTGATGGAAGGTCAGAGGCTATGTTTTGTTTATAATTCTCTCCTTTTCAAGTCTACTGCTGATTTGCCGCACGCTTAAGAAACAGTCAGAAATCTAATCAATGGCTGCTTTCTCCCAAAGCCCTGCTCTGCTCTCTCCTGCTCTGCACTTACTGCGAGAGATCCGTTCTGCGTGCTGGCCGTGTTCGTGCTCTGCTCTCCATGCGGCTGCGTGCTTCCGTAGAGCGTCAGATTGTGCTCGCTGGTCTGGCCTGCATAGTCCTGAGTGTGCGGCACCCCATACTCTGTGGGAATCCCGTTCTGTGGGGGTGGTGGAAATGGGATTGTGGTGAATGGCTGCACCATTGCATCAGGAGTTGCTGCTGGCTCCTGGTTACCCTGAAAGAAGGAAAAAGGAGAAAACAGCTTTATACGACAGAAGACGGAGCAAAACATCAACCTGAGAAATCATACACATACACACGCGTGCTCATGTGAATATCCCACCCGCTGCCACCATAATATTGCACAGTCTTCCATTATCTTCTCTATCAAAATATCAAAAAGAGCATGCCTTGCTCCTCTGAGCCATGACACTGTTTTCTTAATAATTTTTGGACAACTTTCTCACTACTGGGTAGCATATGGAGAACACACTATTGGGCTTGCAACTCGCATAGCCCTGTAATCTCACATAAGGCTTTATGCACAGTAAGGCATTATTTTGGAAGGGGGAAGAGGCACTGAAGCATTGGAACGGAGAAGGAAACACTGACAGAAGAACAGGGTTTTCAGTATCCCTTAAAGTACCGTATCTGGGTTCATCTCCTCCAGTCTGATGCTCACAGCTCTGCTCACAAGGAAGCACAGTGTGTGTCAGAGCACGCTCTTCTCTCTTGTCATACAGTAACAGAGAAGAAACACATGCTTTAAAGCCCATCTGCGCAGCAGCCCCCTCCTTTGCTCTGGCAGCACTGAGTACAGAACAGGAATGATCAGGTATCAGCTGGAACATCCCATTTGCTGCGTGCTGGCAGTGCAGGAGACACCAAATTGCTGTGGGGAGCAGAGATCGCGAGCCCGGAGCACACACATCCCTTCAGGCCTGGTCCTGAGCATCCCAGCCACCACACAAACCATTCATCAGCCACTCCTCTCTCAGCTCAGGGTACCCCACATAGACCTCTACGCTAGGACAGCGGAACTCTAGCAGCTTTTAGCAGTGCCTCGGATGTAGCCGACATCAACCAGATGCCTCAGGAACAGACAACTGACCATGCAGAAGACACCCCCACCAGACAATAAATATCCTACCCCACCGTGCCTGAGAACCGCCCAAAGTAAACACGAGAGCATGCAGCCACCGCAGGGGTCTCACCGAGGGGGGAGCGGGGAGCTGCGTTCAGCCACCTGGGGCGAAGGAGAGCAGCCTTGACATTGAAGCCCAAGTCCGGGAAGCCCAGGCTGCTGCACCGCTCCTACCACTTCCACCGCCGCAGCAGGAGGAAAAAAATCCATGGAAAAGATTTATGATAGGAGCGCCATTTGATTTATGTGCGTGTCAACAGACTAATCCCGATTTTAAATTTTGGCTGCTGTTCCAGCCCTGGGTCCTCCCCCACAAAGCCCGGAGGTGCTCGAGCCTATTCTGACACCAGCACGCTTAAATCAATGGAGTAAAAAGCGAAGCAGCCCTTACCCTGCAGATAGGAAAGGCGGAGGGGGAATTACCAAGCAGCCTTTCAGCAGAGAGCGTGCCGGGGCTGACGGACCTCCAGCGAAGCAGGACCAACCTTGCAGACCCTTTATCAGCCTACCTGCAGCTCTCCCTTCCACGCGGAGGAAACAATGATAAATGCGGTGCACCTCCAGCCGGCACCGGGTCACTCAGACGCTGGCTGCATCCCAAATTTGCTCTGACATTAGTCTATCTGCTCCAACTCCCCTGGGGGCCACGTGGCTCCCGCAGCTGGGGAGAAGGAGAGGGAAGGGCATTCG